AAATAAACTAGGGGCTTTTTTAATGGTATTAGTTTTATTAAAAAAAAAAAAAAGTGCTGTTTCAGGTCTGTGTGTTACAGCTCTTTACTGACCACCGCCAAGCTCACAGTCATCCAGCTTAAACAGAAACAGGACCACAAACCAATTTAGTTAAAGCTAATGACAGGGGGGCTCTTAACTGGATTTGAAATCTGGCTTATACGTTACACTGGAGGAGCCTCCGAAGGGTTTTACCCTTGTGTAATTGAATCCATTGATTCTGATACATTTGAGAAGACTAATTTAATTCAGGGCGCTGATGACTATCAGCAGACGTGAGATGGTCTCCGCATCGGCTGGGCGATGTGTCTGCTTTTAATACAAATTGTCATTAATCCCTTGGGGCTTCCTCGCCCTGATGGTCGGTGTGCTGTGTGGCAAGGAAAAAGGAAAGAAATGACTATGCTGTGTGTGAAGGGGCTACAAAATGGAGATGCAGGGAGAAGGGCCGTCATAGCAAGGGCAGGTTTCTGCCTTTCCTCAAGTCTAGTTTCACAGCCCTGTTTTGCCTTGGACCCAAGAGTAAGGAAAGGGAAGGCATATACCTGATAACGTGCATGGTGGGAAAGGACCGAAGGATCCTACCTCGTCCTCCTGAGAGCTCGTACTGCCGCGGGGAACTGCAAATCCGACCTTGCAGTGGGTAAAGTTGATGCCTGGCAGCTCTGTCCTCACCCTCCCCACGTGTTGCATGGCTTCAACCCCTATTCCAGCAGCTTTGGGGTTCAAAAAATGCCCGAGTGGTTGATGAGCAGATCTCTGCGGTTTTCTTGAGATTTGGATCTCACCTCCATGAGAAAGGCTGTAGGGTTTGTGAGTTTGCTGTAGGGTTAGAGGAGAACGTGGCCGGCAGGGGCTATGCTGGTTTGCTTTCTGGGCTGTCTGAATGCTATCGCCGGAGAGGAAAGCTCTTTCCTTGGTTATTTTCTAACATTTCTGAACAGTTTAGCTTAAACCACAGGACCTTCTGCTGGAAAGGTGCTATGTTCCGGCTGGAGTTCCTGATTAGCTGATACTGATTTAAGGGCAGCAGGGAAAGGGCTTCTCCTGCCCCGAGGTCCCGTTCCCAGCAGTCCCCCGCTCAGCACTGTGCTCTGCGAACCACAGGGCAGGTCAGTGCAGCTCCCTGATCTGGCTGAAAACTACTCTAGCACCAAAAAAAAAAAAAAAAAGTTCAGTGCAATTCTTCTAACGCCGTGCAGAGTGTGTCCACGGGGTGAGTTTTGCCCAGCTTGCAAGTGCTTCCTCGGACCGACCGCCACCAGCAGCTTCCCAAGCTCCCGTGTCGCTAAGCAGAAGGCACGGGCTAGCCGGGACACCTGGATGAGGGCAGGGACGTGCCAGCTGGCCATACTCGAGAGCTTGCCGTAATGCTGCAGGTCCAGCCTGCCCGTGCTGCAGATGAGCAGCACTGGCTGCTTCCCTGCTCTCATGATTTGAAGCGTGATTTCCCTCCACCTCAAAGGCAGCAAAACCGCTGTGATTTAATTGGCAGCATGTTTTCATTTGTTCCAAAGTCTGCGGTCTCGTTTGTTGTACATTAGCGTTTCTCGCAATGAAAACAGCTTCATTGCAACCTGTCCCCTTCAGGTGCTTCGCTCTGACGTGACTTTGTGCAGAGCTTTTGCTGCTTATTTTCCTCAATCTCCTTGAATTTTACCCAGACGCTGGGTGCTGTTTAGGAAACATGGTCTTAATCTTCCTTTGCTCTTCAGGGCTGTGATGGTAACGAGCTCGCCTGGCGATTGAACTGCGGGCTGGGTAGCGCCCAAGGGAAAATCTGAGCGTGTGTAATTGCTAAAGCCGGCTAAAGGGAGCTGGCTGGAGATGAAGCCGGAGAATTTCTCTTCAGGGAGCTGGCGGAGGCGGAGGGCCAGAAGGTTGGGATCTGTGTCCTCCCGTGCTGCTCTCTTCCTCCGGAGGTGCTTGCTTTCCCCTCGGCGAGCACAGCTGCGGGTCAGCAAGCTCACGTCCTCGGGTCACAGGGGCTGCTGCTCTCCACTGGCAGTTTTGTTTGGCAATGAAGCGAGGGGATGAGGCATTGCAGGATCTGGCCCGAGAGCTTCCTAACTCTGAGAAAATCCCTTTCAGAATTAGGGTAATCTTTTCCTTTTCCAACTCCTCCCTTCCCTCCTTTTTTATGCATTTTACCCTTCAGTTGCATCCAGTGGTTTCCAGTCTGCAAGGCAGGACCATGGGTCCTCGTTAGAGGTCTCTGGGGAAAGAGGGGCTGGCTGGTCACCTCCAGTCTTTGCTTTCCCACTTGCCATCTCCGTTTCCTTTGCTTTTTGTCTTTTCTGCCTTATCCCGGCCTCTCTCAACTTTTACTCCTTGGTGCTAGGTTGTCGCTTGCCTAGTTAACACCTATCCTAGACATCATTCTTTCAAAATATGGCTGTCGATGCCATTTGGGGCATAAAAATCCTGGTGATAGAGGAACGCTGGTCCTTTGGCTTGGGACATAGCACTGGCTGGAGGAGCAGAGTAACACCGACACATCGACATTGACATTGCCTCTCCCTTTGGGGGGTCAAGTCTCTGTCTGCAGGTGGGGTGACAAATTTGTGCAAAGGACTGAGGAAGTGGGAATATTCCTGTTTTCCCAAAAACCTCCATACTCAGAGACTGTCTTGGCTCAGAAAAATATTGTCTCTTTGGGTGAGTATTATGGCTTCAGGGGGAGTCACGGGTGGTTGGCCCCAAGCCCCGCTCAGCTGCAGCTGCAGGGATTAAAAAGTACCAGGGGTCAGGTAATGTGAGATCTGGATGTGACCCAGGGTGGGCTCCTCTGATACCTACACGTAGTTTTAGATACATCCCTCGTGTATTTACCTACTGCAACGTCAGAGGGACCACTGAAAATGGGTGCCTTGTGGGCCTAGCCATCCTCCTCCTGCGGGCGTGAGGGTGGAGATGCTCTGTGGAGGCGTCCAGAGGTTGCGTCTGTGGCTGGTATCAGCAGTAGTTTTTGGCACTGCTAATTTTTTAGGAGGATACTGATTTGCCCTGGTTAGAACTTCTTGTGAGGAAAGTCTGCTTGGGGTAGGTTTTGGAAGGGAGAAAAGGTTGTCAAAATACTTCATTTTGATATTTTAAAAAAAAAAAAAACACCACGCTTTTTTCTGATTTGAGATGGGTTTTAGCTTATAGAATTGCTTGTGCATGAAAGCTTGAAATCAAAGTAAGTTATAACAAATTATATTTAATAAACAGACAGGACACCCCCAAAAAAAGTTTTCATAATTGAGAGCAAAGCATTTCAGCTGTTTTTAAAAGAAACTCTTCAAACTTGTCATTTGAAAATTTTAAAATGAAAATTTTCACTTTTCCTCCCCACTTGGGATGGGAAGAGCTTGGAAATCTCCGATCTGATGGCGTGGCATCCAGTAGCAGAGCAAAGGCTTCAGCAGCTCCTGCTGCCTTTGGAGCTCCTCTGCCTCCCAGGGCCCTCCAGAAGTGGAGCTTGGTCGGAGCTGGCTCTCCTGACCCATCCATACCGTTGGGTCCTTACCTGCAGAATCACCAGTTCTGGCAGTGAAATTGTTGTTTTTTCTACTTGCTGTTCATGCAAATCCAACTTGGTGCTCCCAAACGACCATGCATCTTGGGTCCATGGTGCAGAGCAGAATCAGAACCAAGTAACGGGTTCAATCAAAAGAAGATAGTATGGGAAGGACAATGGGAAGGATGCTCCATATCTCCTTGTACCTCTCTGCTCCCCTTCTGCAGCCCCGCAAGGCAAGCGTGGGCCTGCATCTCCCTCTAGTGACTTCTCGCAGACTCTCTCTTCATCAGCTGCATGGCACCAGCACCAAGGAGCCACCAGCCAGGGCTGAGGTCCCACCAGCTCTTGGTGCCATGCACCAGGTTGTCTGTGCCCTGTGGAGCTCAGGGGGAGCGCAGAGCAAGCTCTGAGCGGGGGGTGGTGAGTGTGCGGGGCTGATGGAAATGCTGCCAGCCGTTCCAGGAGAGGCAAAGGTCCTTCACACCCACCAACCAACCCAACCCTGGGTCTGTGCGCATGTGGCTCAGTGTGCAAGCCCAGTCTGAGACATTTATACTGGTGCTGGATGTAAAACCAATGTACATTTTAGATGCAGGTAAACTCTCTAAAGTTTAACTCTTCTTTTTCATATTCAGCGCTTTCATCTTGAGTGTAGATATTCCTATCAACGTTGCCGTTTTCCTCCATCCATGGTTGGTGCCCGGGCTCCGCTGGTGGTTGTAGGGCTGAAAGAGCCATCGCGACCTGCACTGTCCTGCAGGGACCATTTAGCATGGAAGCTGAAGACAGAGCGAGTCTCTTGCAAGCCACTGCCTTAAATTAATTTGCCACAAGCGTCCAGGAGGCTCCACCTGGCCTTGCATCCGCCTTCCCTTCCCGACCCTTGGAGGTTTGCCAGGAGCGCTATTGCAGCTGCTTGGCTGGGGAGGAGACGTGTGGCGGGGGCTGCAAGCTCCTGTTCCATTCTCCCGAGACCACCAAGAGCCTCAAAATACACAGAAGCATCAAAATCAAAAGCTGAAGGGGCAGACCGGTCCCTGGTGTAACTCTATATATTTCCTTTAATTGTTTCAGTAATTGCTCTCAAGCTTGGATTTCTGTCATTAAGGTGTGGGCTGTTCTCTCGATGCCCCTCCAGCATAGAAAATTGGGGGGATCATTGCAGTGGGACTGTGAGAAGGAGGTTCGTGTTAGCGTGGTCCATGCCGACAACTGGCTTGTGTCCATCGTGGAGGGCGAGTTTTGTTTTGTAGGTGGCTGAACAGACCTGCCCATCACCGATGAGCTTCCTTGGAGCTCGGGGGCTCCTGCCTGGGGCTCACAAGCCCTGGGCTGCCTTGTGTCCCCTGGTGGCACTCGTGCCCGTGGGAAATTAAGCAGCACAAAGTGTGTTGAGCAGGGAGGGGGGAAAAAAGTGAAAACGTCAAATTTCATTTTTTTTCTTCTTCCTTTTCAGGACTCCAGACCCACTGATTCAGATTTGACCCTGGGGTCACCTTGGACATGGGAGGACGCCCAGGAGACCCTCAACCGACAGCCTGATGGGAGCGCCCTGACTTCACTCTCTGCTACTGAGATGCCGTCAGCTGAGGAGGAGGAGGGCAACCTTTCTATTGAGGATGAAGGCTTTGAGCTGTTGAACTCCACCTATAAAAAAATCACCAGCCCCAGCGGGCCAGGGCTCGGCAGGAGCAGCCCGTGGGTTGCTGGTAGCTCCGGTGAGTCCATAGTCGTGGTTTCCTCTGTTTCTCCTACGCACCCTCACGATGCCTGGGTACCTGATGGTGCTTTTATCCGCCCAGGACCCTCCACCAAAACACACAGATCAGCCAAGAAGGAGCATGCCTCCGACCCCCAGGAGGAGAATGTCACCACGGAGAAGCTGACGGGCAATGCAGGCACCCAGCGGCGACTCTTGCCCAGCAAACCTGGCGATGCCATCACTGACCTGGACGTGCCTGCCGCCTTCGCCAAGGTCTCCCCATCGGCACGTCAGGCAGCTGCCCCCAAAGGAAACGTGCCCAAAGGTCCCCTGGGGACGGGGTCAGCAGGGAGTGTCCCGGAGCATCCTCCGGTAGCAGCCAGCCCCACTGTCTCAGGGCTCGGGGACAGCACTGCCCACCCGGGACACCCCATCTCGCCGGTGGCACACGGGCAGCAGGGTCACGTGAAACCGGGACCACCAGGGCTGCCAGGACCGCCGGGGCTACCGGTGAGTGGCGGAGGTGATGGCTGCTGGAGGGGAGGGATGGGTGGTGGTGCATCTTCCCCTCTAGAGCGGGTGGTGGGCGCAGGGTGCTGAGCTGTGGTGCCAGCACCTTGCTGTGGGAAACTGGGCAGGGAAACCTCCTCCATGTGGACAGCATGGGGCTGTGCACCAGCCCGGCCCTGCGAGAAGGTTTTTTGATGTCCCTGAAGAAACTTCACTGGCAACTGGAGAGAAGATGATTCCCTTATCCCCCCTGCCCCAGAGATGGTCTCAAGTCATTTAACCATCTTGTCGGCTTTCATTTCACCCTGGTCCTGCCCAGAGGCAGGCTGAGGGGCTCAGAGTGGGGCCAAGCCATCTCCTCCAGCCCCTGTCCCCACACCAAACCCCAGGTGTCAGTCTGCAGCCCCCGCTGGCATTGCTGTCCTTTGCTTCTCTACCACTGCGACACCCCAAAATTTGTGGTGGTTCAAAGCAGAGCATTGAATTTGTCTTGAAATAAGTATTGATTATTTTTCAGATTATTCATCCATTGTAGTAGATGAAAAAGGGAAATTTAAAAAAATTGGTAAACTTAGAATAGATAAATCTTAGAGAATTCATCAGTCTTCATTGAGAAGTAGCTGAAAAAATTTTTTTACATATTTTCCCATGTTTATTTCTTCTGCCAAAATGATTTCCCTCATTTCGTTAAATTTTCTTAACAGTTCCTCTAGAAAATTGCATTTCATTTAGCCAGTGCCGCTGCCAGAAATGACCACGGGCACCTTCTCCTACCCCCTGGGCAGACACCCACGTGAAAGTTGTCTGGGATGCCTTGAGCTCAGGGCTGCCCTGGGGGTTCATCTGGATGCTGCAGGGCAGGTCTCCACACGCGGCTGTTTTTACGGCTGTGTTTGAGGGCCCTGGCACTAAATTAGTCATCGATGAGCCAGGCTTCATAGGATAACGGCTAAATTTATGACTGCTAGCTTCCCCTTCGAGCCATCTCCTTGCTGCTGCAGCTATTGCCTGCAAAAACAGAAGAAAATAGCAAAAGGAACAGATGCTGAAGGATGAAAAAAATCCCAGGAGTGGAGGAAACGTCACGGTGTTTGACAGCCCTGCTGTCAGCCAGTAGGAGGGGAGGCAGCCAGGAGGGAATTGGTTTTTCCCCCTGTAGAAAGCATTGAGATGGATTTTCTCTTGGTCATGAGCATTCTGGGTGGAAACACAGGTAGAGGCAGCCCCATCCCAGCATTAGGAGTTTGGGTTTGAGATGCTGGCGCAAGCGGGTGTAGGCTTGAAGCTCTGCAACAGCACATGCCGTCCACAGTTAGAGCTCTTATTTTAGCTAAAATTATGTGCTGAGCCTGGCAACCTTTCCCGATGTTTTGTTACCACTGCTCAGGGCTGAGGGCAGGCGGGCTCTGCCCTTGCTGCTCCTCCCCAAAGGTCCTCCTGCCTCCTTGGGTCTCCATCCCACCAAGCCCCTTCAGCCGTCCTGAGCCGTGAGGGGTCTGGGCACGTAGAGCCTGCTTTGGGGCTCTTGCCCAGCCCTTGCACCCACACGCCTCGCTGCTGCCATGGCCCATGCTCGTGGTGGTGCCAGCAAAAGTGTGATGGATGTTTTGGGTGTTTAAATGTATCCTGTGGAAGGGAAACCAAAGAATCGGTGCCCTTGCCTTGGAAAACGTCATTAAAAGGAATTTTGGGGGTTTTCCTTTGGGAATGGGACTTTGCCTTGCCTCTGGTTTTGGCAGTGGTGATGTGTGCTGGGCTTGTGGCTCACCCTCGTACTGTGTCACCTCGGGCAGCCTTGCAACCGGGACCTGGGCACAAGGCAGGGTGCGTGTCTGAGGGTGACATCTCTCATTATTCTTAGAGGAAAGGTTTGGAAATAATGGGGTTTTAGCATCAACCTTTTCACTTGTGGGGCTTTTCTCCTCCTCTTTCACTGGCAGTGTCGATCAGGGAAATCAGCGGTGCACAGACCTCCAGCCCTGCCCCACCACGCGATGGGTCCTCTCCCTCGGTGCAGGTTCATGTACATCTGGTTTGCCACCCTCAGGGATTTTTATGCCTTTGCAAAAACATTTCGAGTAGCTGTTCCAGTCGGGAGGTGTGGATGGAGGTTTATTTATCATCCTGCCAAGTCCTGATCGTGCCCTAATGCTGTTCAGGGCATTTATGGACTGTAGACCCCGCAGACCGCGTGCCCTCAGTTCCCAACCCAGTTATCATCCGCTGCAAAGGCATTGGAGATCAGTGGGGAAAAAAACCAACATGTTGTGAGAAGTGGGAAGTGTTTCTTACTTTAAAAGCTGCTGATTTTTATGATCTTGCTAATCCTCCTTGCAGGGATTTCATTGTGTTGCCAGTATTCAAAAGCTCCTTGGCTTTCATAGACAGTGTTTCATGGGGGTTCCCAGCTGTCGGTATGTCCCCACAGGCTTTTCTTTTTCTTTTTTGATTTCTGTTACTCAAACTTAGCACTGGCTGTTTAGGAGCAGAGATGTGGTTTCTATTCGTAGGCTTAAATTAAATCCTGCTGGAGGCATCTGGTGTCAGGGATGGCGTGAACTCGGGTTACAGGCAAATGCAGCCTTCTCCATGCTTTCCTCCCGGGAGCCATCCACTGTTTTGCAGCACCCAGGGCTGCAGCCGTCGGGTCGTGCCGCAGGAGGAGGGATGGTGCTGCGGCGTGGTGCTGCATGCAGTTTTCAGGAAAAAACACTGGCTGCCTTCTGGATGAGATCTCTTGGATTGATTTTCATTTTTCTCTCCTGAAATGTTACAGCCCTTGGGTCCGTTGTTCCTGGTGCTCTGAATTGTTCTTTTTGGTTTGCACAAAACGAAATCAGCTTGGGAGCTGCTTAAGGGAGAGAAATAGATGCCGTCAAATTTCAGGAGGTGCTGTTGTGCCCATGGCTCGGTCCTGTCCCTCCCCTGTGCACTAGGACTGCACGTGTTGGCTTTGCAGCATCGGTGTTCATGCTGGGGGTGGCCATGGCCAGCATCTGGGGAGGAGCAGGAGGAGGAATGGCTCTTGGGCCATCTCAGAGAGGGTCCTGGTGCATTTAAGTGTCCTCAGTGGAGCACCATGACCCTCTGACGACTGTGTTGGAGGAAGGGTTCTTTGGGCACCCCATCGGCTGCTGGCATATCTCAGCTGTGGACCTAGGGCAGCGGGTGTCCACGCAGGAGATAAGCTAAAGGCTGCACCCAGAAGAAGTGACTGGACCCCATAGCTCTTTTGAGGGGGATCAGGGGGAGGCAGGACTTACTGAAGGATCTAATTTATATCTGCACCCAGGGTGGAGAGGATGAGCCTGTCCCCAGGCACCTTGCAACAGGCATGTGGTGCTCACAGTAAAATCCCAGTGACTCCAAACTGGGTACGTTCCTGCAGAAGTGGTCTCTCAGCAGCATGCATCCAGCTCCTTAAAGGAGGGCTGCTGGGTGGATAGAGGGGCTGCCTGGCACTGGGAGGGGTCCCTGCCCATTCTGGTGCATGCTTTAATATTGGGTACAGTGGGCAGGAATTGCTTTATTTTACCTCCTTCAGCAATGGTGGACTTGGCAGTGTTAGGTTTACTCTTAAGAGAGATCTTGAGATCTTAAGATCTTAATGTATTTTCCAACGTAAATGATTCTATGATTCTAATACCCAAGGTTTCAAAATCAGACCAGAGTTGCCAGCATCACTGCCGCTGCGTGTGCCATTTGGCACAAACACGTGCTGCGCACGAACCGAGCCTAAGGGGCACAGCCTCCAGCCCCCAGGGAGGGGGAACTGAGCCACGGAGCCCCGTGGCCTTCAGATCTGGGCACTTCAGGTGATCAGAGTCCCTTTGGTGAAACATCCCGCAGTGCCAAAGCTGTTTCTGGACATGCAGCTTGGCCTTTTTACCCATCCCATCGGCACAAGGCAGCGAGGTCGGGGCTGGCTGCTGCCCGAGCGGGGCTGCCTTGGTGGTCACAGGGATGCAGCCGTGTCTGTGCTGGGGTGGTGTTAATTCAGTGTGGATTCCCAGGCTTGCTACTGGGCTGTTTGCAAGCTCAGAACAAAAACGACGGCTGTAATTGAAGCCATCAGAGCCGCAGCTCTGCAGCAGACACACAGGTAGACACTGTGCTGCAGCCCGGCGTGTTATCAGTCTCTGCCAACATCTTCCAGGTAGATTTTTTTCGTCGAGAAAAGCCGGGATCTCCCATCTGACCTTGTTTCTGCCCAGACAGATGCTTCGGTAAGCCCCGAAGTGCGGTCGCCGCTTGGCCAAATGTGCACTTTTCACTCGAGGTGGGCTAGATCAGATCTCACACAAGTTAGAAGTCGCAGATGTTTGCGTCCTCGTCCAAACTACTGTTTGAGCGTGTGGCCGTGATCTAGCTCTATGGGTTTTTTTCCTAACACTCTGCCTTTCCTCACCAGGTGTCAGTAAAAGTGCTCCAGCTCCCCGGCCATATGGTCTGGGGCATTTCTGTGATGGATGCCGCAGGATTACGCCACTGAGCTGGCCGAGCAGAGCTGCTTTCTGATGCCAGGGCAGGAGAGTGGGAAGGGAGCAGCATAAAATAGGGTGCACTTTCCACCCCACCGGTCTTTGGGGTGTTTCTCTGAGGCTTGGTGCTGCTGGTATGCTCTGAATCAGCCGTTTCAGTTCCTGCTTCCCTGGGGCCAGGATGTCCCTGGCCATGGCACTGGTCACCCAGCTACTGTGGGATCTCCCCTGGTTGCAGGGGGTCCCCCTTTGAGGGGTGACACAGCTCTCCTCCTTTGCCTTTCAGGGCTGCCCTGGGAGACGTGGACTGGTGGGACCCAAAGGAGACAAAGTGAGTATTCCGGAAAACACAGGAAGGTATGGGATGGGGTGTAGGGTCCAGGGCAAATACCATGGATGATTTGGGTTGGTTTGGGTGTTTTTCATCAAGAGGGCAGTGTGAGCTTCTGAAGCTGCAGTCTGGTGGCCCTTTATGTGCATTTGGAAGAGGAAAGAACTATTTTTGCTGGGTATTTTAAGCCCAGGCTCAGGACTGAGCTGGCTGGCTGGACAAGCTGCTGTCTTTCCTCTGAGCCACTTAACGGCTCTACAGAGGCGGCAGAGCGGGGAGATGAAGCAGCTTTAGCTGAGGTCACCTGGAGGAGGGATGCTGGCGTGTCCCAAAGTCCAGCCCCATGCTATATCCACCAACTCACCTTGGAGGGACATCTGTCCTCCAGCACCACGTTGGTCAGACCCACGGCTGCCCTTCCTGCTCCAGGAACCCAGCGCGCAGCAGCCTGCACGGCACAGCTCGGTCTCCTGCTGCACGCAGCATTGCCTGGTGCGCTGACAGATGCTTGGGGATGCTCTGGATTAAGGGTGGTGCCTCAGTTTCCCCATCAGTAAAACAGTGAGAGTGCTCCTCTGCACAGCAGTTTCCATCTTTCCCAAGCTGTAGAGGGGCAAACTCGTTGCCCCATGAGTCACGCCGCTTCTGTGTGCATTAGCTTCAATACCTGTGGCATTTAGATGGGTCTGGGCACAGGCATGTGCATATGAAGCTCATTCCTTTTGCTTTCCCTGTTGTCAGGGTTATTTAGATCTTAAGAGCTGGTTTGAACCCAGGAATGTGCCTAGACCCAGACTCCGCTCAGAGGCTGACTTGAGTCAGAGCCCATCCAGCCTGTGTTGATTGTTAAATCCCCGTCTGGTTTTAAGGACCTGCCCTTGTCTTCCTAGGGATACCCTGGAGCCATGGGGCGGACGGGCCCCCCGGGCGACCCGGGCCCTGTGGGCATCCCCGGTGTCCCCACCATCGTCCTCTGGAGGAACTCCAGGGAGGACTGGCAGACATTCATGGTGAGTTACAGCCGTGGCGGGCGAGCAGTCGGGGTGCTCCACTTGTATCTCCTCATCAGCTCCCGTGCAGGCGCCTCTCTGCTCTGCTGGGATGAGAGCTGGGAGGAAGGGTTCGTGATGATTTGAGATTCCTGTTGGGAATGGGTTGGGGCTGTTGGGTGGGGGGACAGAGGCGGGGTGGGAAAGTGGGGGCAGAGGGAGGATGCCAAGGAGAGAGGTGCAGCTCACTGGGGACGGCTCTGCGGGCAGCTGTCCTTGGGTGAAATGGGATCAGTGTGTGCCCTATTTACAGCTGTGCTCACACAGCTATCCCTGTTTCCCCTGTGACTGACTGGGAGATCTCGGGTCCCCATCGTCCACACACATCCATGACCTCCCAAGGGTGGTTCATGCCCTACCTCTGTAGGACAGGGGCCAAAGAAGATCCAAGCCATGCAGAAAGCAGCCCCTCTCCTGCTCTGCATTGCTGGTTACAAAGCATTGCTCCGGTTTTCCACCGTACCCCAGTTTTCTGCCGTGCCCCAGCTGTGTGCCGTGGCTTTGGCTCGCAGGGTTTGTGCCTGTCAAGCTTCTTGCCAAGACGAGATATTTTCTCACCTGAACCCTGCTGCTGTGGGGAGCACAGGAGCGGGGACGGGACCTGCGGGGAGGCAGGAGTGCTTCAGCTACTGCGTAGCTGGCTGCGAAACTCCATGCACCGTGGGAGCGATCACTGCAACGACCCAGCCAGCCTCGTCCCGGTTCCCCGACTCCTGACAGCACAGTGACTGCTGTGATTAAGCTTAATTTCAAACTCCCTCTCAAGCCTTGCCTGAGCCAGGCAGGTCAATAGCTGAAGGCATTGGGTTTCTAACTGCCTTAGGCACCTTACCAACCAGGGGCTGGAGCTCCCTGGAGCGGGGATGCTCTCTGCGTTGTGCGTCTGTAATGTCCCTCTGATGGGACTGCAGCCTGTCTGGATGTTGGCTGCTCGAAGCAGATGCCGGGCAGATTGGCTTGCAAGGCATGTTGGTGCAACGGGCAGAGTAATGGGCCAGTGAGAGCCAGGCTCAATGCTCCGGCTCTCTAAGAGCTTTAATGACCTTGGGCAGGACTTTTGAGTTATCTTCAACTCGTTCATTTGTGAAGAGGGGTAATGGCACTCTCTGCTCCAGGGCAAATGCCTTTAATGCTGGCAAGACGATACAGTGAGGAGGACCTCTGCTCTGCCAGCACAGCACACCCCGAGGAAGGGATGGTGCTGACTGGAGGTACGAGGTGGAGAGTGGCCATGTGCTGATCTGGCTCTGATCTTGGATTGACCAACCAGAAGTCCTTGGGCCAGACCTGCCCCTTGCAGTTTTTTGTTGGATTGGATCAAAGCATCTGCAGAAGATAAATACCTGCCTTAGAGGAGATCAGATTCCTGCTGGGAAGTGCAGGAGAGCTGAACATTGGGAAATATCTTGGTTGACCTGGAGGACCTCCATGTTCTCCTGTCCTTCTGCTCTAGAGCAGGTGCTGTGCTGTTATCAATGCTCACAAGACCCATTGCAGGCACGCAGTGCGGGACTGGAGTAAACGGGGATAGGAGCGAGCAAGCTGGAAGTGTTGGCTGGAAGAAGCCTGCAGTGCCAGAGAGCATCTTCATGCCTGCGCCAGGGCAATCGCCTTCCTCCCAGGGTGTTTGGGATAGACATCCGCGTAATCAATTCCTGTTGTCAGGGCATGGTTACAGCACTTTGCAGGGCTGCTGACGCTCTTTGCTCTGCACACTCAGTCAGAATTGCATTTTTTTTTTTCCTGCCTGCATTTGGAAAGGGACCTCAGGCTTTGTTCTTCTGCAGGCTGAAACGTTCATGTCTATGGATGTTGCCGTAGACCATGATTTCTTTGGTGTACCACCACCTTCAGCACTTAGGCGTTGAGAATGTTGGAGGGAGCAGACAGTCTCGTCTGTGTTTGGGAAGCCGAAGCTGGAGGGCTGCCGGGGCCCTGGCCGCAGGCTCCCAGGGGGGTTGCGTGCTGGCACTTGGCCCAGAGCTTTTGGCAAAGTGCCGATCTCAAGGGGAAGGCAGTGTCTGGCAAGGATGACGTGGGGCACCCGAAAGCCTTGCTGGGCTATTGTGTCTGTGGCCGTATGACCCCGGCAGTGGCGTTTTGCTCGGCAGCAGGAAACGGGAGTGCAAAGCCGTGGGCTGGGTTTTGCTAATCTTTGTTGAGATAGCACAGGGGTGAAAAGCTGAATGCTGGCTGCTGTGAGCATGGGGGTGCTGTCTGCTTCTGCAGCCTCCTACAACTTACTGGGGGGCTGGAGAAATGCTGTGGCTCGGGACAGTGCTGCTCTTGTGAACCAAGTGCTTGTGATTTGGGGGCTGCAGGGGGGGCATCCTGGGCTGCTGGGGTTTGTTGTTGGCTCAGCCTTTGGAAACGCAAGTCAGAGGAGCCACCTCTCAGTCCAGGGGACGTAATGCAGTATGATGGACTGGGAAAGCAAGGGACATTGGTGGCTGTCCCAGAGCAGTTATGGCTGGGGGGGGGGGGGGGGTGGGCGCCACCCCCTTCTCCTCCGGCTCCCACCCTATTGTGAGTGCTGGCTGCTGTGAGCATGGGGGTGCTGTCTGCTTCTGCAGCCTCCTACAACTTACTGGGGGGCTGGAGAAATGCTGTGGCTCGGGACAGTGCTGCTCTTGTGAACCAAGTGCTTGTGATTTGGGGGCTGCAGGGGGGGCATCCTGGGCTGCTGGGGTTTGTTGTTGGCTCAGCCTTTGGAAACGCAAGTCAGAGGAGCCACCTCTCAGTCCAGGGGACGTAATGCAGTATGATGGACTGGGAAAGCAAGGGACATTGGTGGCTGTCCCAGAGCAGTTATGGCTGGGTGGATGCTCAATAGCCTCTCCTGCTCCTTCCCGGTGAAACAAGCCTTTGCTGTTCATGGGAATTGAGCAAAACCAGCTTAAGACCGCTGTGATTCTGCCCCGAGCCCCTGTCCTGTGTTTTTGTTCACAACAAGTTGACAGACATTGGGTTTGCCAAGAAGTTGTCTTGGTGTAACTCAAGGGGCAGGAACTGTTGCTGCCTTGTTCTGGCAGCGTTGACTTTGGTAGTGGTGGAGTCCCAGAAGCCGAGGAAGGAGGAGAACTGGACCTCCTGCAGTTATTAGGGAGCTTACTCTGCAGCGCTAGAGTCCTTTCTTTTTCTCTCTCCCAATACCTTTAAAAGCAAGAGGTCAGGCTGGGAAATGAGGGCTGGTAACCTTAGAGCAAAAGAAAATATTGCTCCATGCAAAAAGGAGGCAACCCTTAGGGATTTCCTGCTACTGAAGGGTTGGCTGCTAACGCAGCTCTGTGACTGCGTGGCTTTATGGACGTGGGGTGGGCTGGGGAGCGTGGTCACAGGGTGGGCTGGGGAGGGCGGCCAAGATGGTGCTGCAGGGCATGACCTGCTCCCTGCAGAGCTGTCGGAAGGGTTTTCTCTGTCCTGCTCTCAGGCTGGAGTTTTACAGGAGGACAGATCCAAATGGCGATCACTCCCCATCCTCCATCCCCTCCATTTTTGCTTACGATCCCCGTACCCGTCACGCTGCTCCCTGCTGACCAGAGCTGCAGCGAGCAAAGTGCTGACTATTTCCTGCTGAAATTGCAGAAGGCAATCCCGTCCCCGCACGCTGCTCCCTGCTGACCAGAGCTGCAGCGAGCAAAGTGCTGACTATTTCCTGCTGAAATTGCAGAAGGCAATTAATTTCTCTCCCCTCTGCTTGGCATCTGGTGCTCCGAAGTACGAGTTCACGTCTCCTGTGGGATTTTTTTTTTCCCCCCTTTTTAAAAGGTTGGATTTTTTTTTTTTTTTTGAGGCCTAATGAAATAATATCCTGTCCCGAGTGAATCTGAGTTCACTGATTCCCAAGACAAGGCAAAAGCATTGGCCATGCTCCAACCCCCCGAAAAAGTTTTTGTGAGCAGCTTTTGAGGGAAATGAGAACTGGCTGGACAAGAGGACCATGGCCTGGCCCTGGCAGGCTGGCAAAGACTGCACCCATTTGCTCACGGTAATCCATTCGGGATCAACTTGAAAGGAACTGAGATGCCTGGTGTGGCGTTAGAGCTAGTTAAATGCATCCATCCATCATCTGTCCCCGAGAGCCCCGCTCATTATTAGAAATATTTCCATATGTTGAAAGGTCTGTGTTTATTTTCGTTAATGAGTTCCTTGGCTTTTTCCCTTCTCTCTCCTCTGGTATCGGAGGACGGATCTTTGGAGGGGGGGACAGGAGGGGATTTCCTGGCGCCCCCAAGGCTGAAGCTGGGGAGCACGTGGGAATCCTGCCCCTCCAGCTGCTTGGGATTGGGGTGATGAACAAGGGGGGGCTTTTCTTAGCCTTTGATGCAAGCCAGGATTTGGAGGAGCTGCCCGGACCATGTGTCTGGGCTCACCGTGGGGAGGAGGAGGTGGAAAGGTGGGTTTTGCCTCCTGAGTGTCTGTGGTTTGTGCTGCTGGGGGGGCAGGAGGGTGGCTGGTAGTTGGAGGTAGACATTGTTTTGTTTCCTGGGCATCTCCCAAAACTTGGGAAAATCTGGCTTGGAAGTGCGCAGGGAGGAGGCTGCACTGTGAGTTTTTAGGACCTTCATGCTGGCTTTGAAATACGGTGGAATTAACTGCGGCTACGATGGGATTAGCCCACCCTGTGGCTTTTGGGTGTTTTTTCCCCCTTTGTGGTCATCTGGTCTTCTAAAAAATTGGAGGTACATGAAAGATTTGGCTGCTAGGAGCAGCGAGGAGAAAGCCTGCCAGCCATGGCTGCTGGAGGATCACCTCATCTGGGGCTTCAGATGGGGCTGGTCGGGATGAGGTTTCCCACCTGGGGCAAACTGGTGTCGAAACAGCTGGTTTTAGTCCAACCTGGGCTAAATATGATGGTACCTGCGCTCACCAACAACACGTTTCTGACCTCTCCCCATGCAAAACATTTCTGGTGTCCCAAGGCTGCTACGACATCCGTAGGGGAGCTGAATTTCAGCAAACTTCAAAAGTGGGGTCTCCGTCTTCATTTGCTAATGAGGCCAGCAGTTCCTTATCTCCTACACGTTGTCCTCAGATTAAGCCTTGTCCTGTGACTTGCATACACATAGTATAAAAAAAAATAAAAATTAATTAGAGCACTGGTTCATTCCCAAGCAAGTGTCTTCCCAAGCAACAGAAAAAAGACTTTGAAGCCAGCAAAAAGGGATTTAGGGTTTTCTTTTTAACATTTTGCTTCCCCCCGCCCCCTTCTCCTTTCAGCAATCATCATTTTACCAGCTTCTACATGCAGGCTGGCCGGTGAGTATCGCTGTTAAGCAACTTTCTGTGGTTCGGTTTTTCCTCAGCTTGGTCAGCTGGGTTTTCCTCCCTCCAAGCACTTCATCAGTGAGATTTGTTTTACCAACTTTTCTCTTTTTAATCCAGAGAAAACCTGGAGCCCCCGGGCCCCCAGGACATCCAGGGAAAACAGGAGCACCTGTAAGTAAGAAAAGCCTCGGTGTCCCCTCCGCGGCTGGATGCTGCTTGGCCCCGCTGCCACCCCGGCTGGCCTGGGGCAGCTTGCAGAGCCGATGTCCCCAGTCATTTGCACAGTCCTGGGCTGCCCCAAAAAATATCTGCTGCCAGGTGGCTTCTGACATGCTGTAATTAAGGGCCTTGGAATTGGGTTTCAAAGAAGCCTAATGGTTTGCTTGTCTGCTTCCCACCGAAACCCGGGTGATGCTTGATATCTAACTCCCTGGGTTTCGTTGGCAGACGCAGCCCCTGCCCCTCTGTCTCCGCCAGCTGAACAGTGCTGGCTTATCTTCCCCAGGGCATCGGGTTCCTGCCCCCACGTTTGGGTAGGGACCATGTGGATCCCTCCCAGAGGCACAAAAACAAGCCAGGGAACGGCTGATGCAGTACTTGTGTGGCGCCAGCTCCATGCTGGTGGGTCTGCAGCCCCATGCCCACGCAGCCCCCCGGATTGCTGGGTGATGCTTCCCCCCCGGCTGGCCTCTGCAAACAGGGCAGCAGCATGAGGCAAAAGAAACAAAAGCAAAACTCCCCGTCCTGACCTCCCGTAGGGCACCAAACGAATGGGGAACCGGATCTGTCGCCGCCTCCAAACCCACCCTGGCCACAGACCCCGCGAAGGCAGGCAGGGTGGCGGGTGTGCCAAGGGGTGCGAATCTTCCCGTTCTGCCCTTTCCAAGGCTGCCTCTGCGCATTGCTCGTTCTCCTCCCCATGACAGCCTCTGCAGGGCTCGGGCTGCTCTCAGCACGGGGCAGGACGGGGGGACATGTTTGTTGACTCAATCCCTGTTTTTGCACAGGGACCCTGCGGAGATCCAGGGGAGCCGGGCGAGAAAGGCCGGCAGGGGTACACGGTGAGTGGGGGTGCTGGCAGGGACGCCTGGCTGTGGGCGGGTGGGGGGCTTGGCTGCAGGGAGAGCCCAGTTTGGAGAGGTTGAGTGCACCCTCGGGGCTGTCCTGGGGACCCTTGGACACCCTGCCCCTCTTGGATCAAACCCTGGAGCACTGGGTGAGAGAGAACTGTAACAGTCGGGTTTGCTGCTGGTTTGGGAACTGTGCAAGGAAACGTGTGCCTGGTTTGAAGGGTCATGGGTGGTGATGCCCCAGTCCTCTCTCTGAGGTCCTTGCTGTGGCTGGCAGGGGTGGCTCTCCACAACAGGTTCATTCCCCTGACCAAGTCCATGCTGCAGCTCCTCTTGCCCTGTGGTTGCAGCACCCCGCTCCAGCAGGTGCATGGGCTCAATGACTGCTCAGCACAGTCCCTTTGGGTGCTGGACTCTGCCACATGTCACCCGATGCCCTGCCAAGCAGGTAGACACAAGGTGGCACGGTGGTCCCAAAAGCGTTCTGTCCTTTTGTCACCTTCTGGAAGCCACTCGCCTCCTTCCCCATGGTTCTGGCCGAAGGGATGTGTGAGCTCTGCCTGTTCTCTGCAATGGGAGCTGCTGTGCAGCGTGCCCTCGTGGGACCTGGCCACCTCCCCCCGGGACCGAGCGAGCACAGCTGCCTGTGGGGGTTTGGATGCCCCATGGGTAAAAGGAAAGGAGAGCAGATGTCCCAATCTCCCAGCATTGCTGGAGCTTTCCACCCGCTCTCCCACCCGTGCTCGCTGGTACCCAGCCCTTGTGGGAAGAGTTGGTGCATCCCGAATCTTGTCTCTTTCAACAGAGCAGATGCGCAGGCGTCCCCCAGCACCCCCCTGCCTCTTGCTCGTTTGTCCTGGTTGCTACTGGGCTGCTCCGAAGGGACAGCAGTGCCCATCCCTGCTGCTCCTCATCTCCCCGCTCACTCACCCATCTACTGGAGCAATTGTCTTCCTTCAGCCCTCCAGTGTTTCCCATCCTGCATAGCATCTCCCCAGTGACCTTAACCACAGCACCATGGTCCCCTTGGCTCCCTCTCAGCAATGACCTTCCTTTCCTCCTGCCATCTTTGTTGTCATCGTGTCTTTGTGGTGGTTTAACCCCAGCTGGCAACTGGGCACCACCCAGCCGCTCGCTCACTCCCGCCCACCCTGGTGGGACGGGGAGAGAATTGGAAGAGTAAAAGTGAGAAAACTCGTGGGTTGAGATAAGAACAGCTTAACAACTGAAATAAAATAAAATAGTAATAATAATAATAAAAAAAAATACAAAGCAAGTGATGCACGATGCAATTGCTCAGCACCCGCCGACTGATGCCCAGCCAGTCCCCGAGCAGCGGCCCCCTCGGCCAGCCTTCCCCCAGTT